ACTAGTCACTTAAATCACCTTTGTCCCCCTTCTGATGCTCGGTTTGAACTTCAGCAGGTCATCTAGACCATGTCTACATGTCTAACTGCACTGGGGTGCTGTTATATGACTGGCTGATTCAATAAAAAGGACTAGATGTTACAGTCACTTATAATGCATTGCTTTAAATGGAGAATATCTTGAGGGATGGCTGTTATGAGGAAAGGCAGCCCAGACACTCTACCAGTTTGGGACACATTGTCAGTAGTGGACCTTGGATTCATCAGGTGTTTCAGCCATTATCACTAGACACCCTCATCCAAGGAGGCCCTGCCAGGGTTGATCAGGCCCTGGAGTGTGTCACTGGTTTATGTTAACTTGTTATTTCTCTTCTTCTTTGTTCTGTTTAGTTTCCTACAGTTTATTTTCTATTCACTGCAACTGAAAAATAATAAGCAGATAAACAGGCGTAAAGTCACACATGAGTGTATTTGAAGACAAAGATGTCATAAAAATAGCATTTATGAAATAAATTTTTTAATAACACTTTTTGAAAATTGAATTACTTGAATTGAATTATCAGTTCCACTTTGTTTCATTTCTATTAAACACTAATATCATGTTGGCAAATCCAGCATGAGAGTAAAGTTTTTAATTACCTAAAGATATTTCTCAGTAAATTAGCAAAGTAATATTTTTTCCAAAGGTGGGCCCAACCTTCTTGGTTTCACCAGCATCTTGATGTTCCTATTTTTTCTGTTTTGTTGTGTCTATGGTCTATTTTGGTGCCCATGTTTTCAGCTCGTTTGTTTGGTTTAGTTTTTACCACCTCTGGTTTCAGTCTGTTTGACTCTTCTCTGCCTGTGGTTTTGCTCAGTCTGTTCTGCAGCCCTGTTTGAATTAAGATGAATTTCTTAACAGTTAATTTCCATCTGACCTGTATGACCACTGGGAAGCAGGCTGCAGAAGTGAGTGCTCTCTATGAAGTCAATTACATCGGGGGCCATGCTTCAGAGCTCCCTTTTTTCCAGCTTGATGTGAGTGGAGACAACCTCCCTGCTAGATTCAACAGAGTGGACAGAAACGGACATCCCTTCATGTGAACATTTGAACCATAAGGGTGTAGAAACTAACCTTTCACATCCTGGTGCTCAGTGTCCACATCAGTAGGCTTTTCTAAGTATCAGCGGTCATCATCGAGAACCAGTTTTGTAAATGGGGCCTTCAGGATTTTTCAGCAGCTCCTCTGCTTTCTTCTCAATCCAGCCTTCTTATATTTCCTACCTATCCATGTTGTCTTCTATCTTAATGACCTCATCCCGGAACCTTGCATCTGTCTCCTTTCCTCTGTGCAGCCATGCAAATGCAAAGCAGCCAGTTTAAATCATTGCCTTGCAGTAAACATTGGCTGCCAGGTATCTGTTTCATGCAGGAGGATCTCTGCATCTTAACACCATTCAGATTTGTCACTGAACTCTTCCATCTATGATAGGATTTCCTCACAGAATTAAATTGTGCACAGTTTGATTTACTATCCTACCAGTGTCATCTGGATTACTCATATCACAGGTTGAGGGATCTCGTGATATTAAAGTTTAATGTGGATTGTCCTTCAAGAAGGTGGAATTATTCTTAATTTAAATATGCTTGCTAGAGACATCTGATCAAAGGTGCTCTGTAACCAAATGGAATTTAACCTAAACATTTCTGGGGGTGTATTGGATGTGATAACCTCTGTCAGGATGCAGTGCAAATGTTGAACTGGCTTGTTGTTTTTGTCTGACCTCAGGATGCATGATGCATCCACCAGTTTCTACTGGTCCCTTATCAGACACCTTGACTCTATCAACTAATCCGATCATCTTAGGCTTGTGTTTCTGCTTCTGTGTTAGGATTTTCCTTATTGTAACTCAGCTGTCTCCCTGCCAGCCTCATATTTTTCTTTTCCAGCTTCAAATCATCTAATTTGCCTGCTTGCCCATTTTCCAACATATACTTCAGTACCTTTCGCTGACTTCCCTTCTCTCTTCACAAGCTCAAGATCTCTAACTTGTCCAACTTGTTTTGTAATAACATTTTTAATTCAACATGCCCCTTGCTCTGAATTTGTCTTCCATTGCCTGATCATGAAATCACTGCAAAACATCTGTCTGTTTATTCGTGACTTGACCATATTTGCAGTTATTATACTGACATACATTATTTTGTCACAAACAGCCAGTATGGTAGGTAAAAGAAGAGAGCGAATGTCTCAAAAACTAAAGAGAAATTTTAAAACGCTGTAAACCAACAGATTTCAGATGTATCTCATGAATTTTGCTTATATTTTTAGCAATGTTCAGAAGTTCACCATAAATAGATTCAGTAAGAGGCTTGAAAGGCTTCAGACGGCATAAATGAATCCAAGGTCCCAAGTACATCTTAGATCATCCATTATTCTTCAGTAATCTTCCAGTTAAGTCAGTTGCCCTTGTGCCCTGTGCTTAACATATGTTATATATTAAATGTTACATGTTTTTAAATTCATTAATGTAGGAGCGCCTTAAAATAAATTCCTGAAATCACAGTGCTGAAATCTAGACTCCGCAATGTCTCTTTGCATTGTGTATCCTATGGGGATCATCAATGTACATCTCTGTCTTACTTGTTTTACTTGCACTCACTACTTTCATGCAGTATTTAATGGCTAGAACACAGCTTTACATTCTCACTGGGGTTTTTGATTCTGCACAGGATGAGAAGATATTGAAGCGATCCAGTGCATGCTCTGATGCCCAGCTAAAGCTTTGACAACTGCTCTGGGAGGTTATGTGATGCTTTTACATGGTTTTCTCCATCTCCTTACACGATTCCTTCTCATAACTTTGCGACTGAATATGTAGGAGGAATAGGTTGTTTACAACACTAACTTAACCATGAATATAAATGTCACTTGGCCAGACTGCAGCTGGTTCTTGTCACTGCAAAATTTAGTGTTTCCACTTATAGCAAATCTAAATTCCTCCACTTTCTGCACCCAGTGTCTGCTAACCTTTCCAGTTCTATCATTGCCCAGCTTGTGTCCTTTGTCAAATAAAACAAATGTCTCAGTATCCACCCTTTGCCACTTGCAGTCTTGTCTTTTATTTATGCATTCACTACAACCCGTTTTGCCCCACTGGCAACAATTGTTGCCAAAGTTTATCACTGTCATTTTCGACTCACAATAAAAAATCTCAAAGGTACTAATGCAACTTTTTCCACTTATATGCTAGTAGACAACTTAGACAAAGGTTTTGATTTTTAAAAAATCGTTTCCAAGTGCTTCCTATCGCATGACATCATCTGCTTCCCGCTCTTTCTGGCTGAAGACATGGCGGATGCAAATCATCCTGGAAAGAGGTAATTTTCATAAATTTCTTATGACTTTCCCCCCAAACATATTTATAATTATTTAATCATTCAAGTCTCTAGAGTAACCCTCCCCAAAAAAATTGTACCTAGGATAAATATTTTTTTGTTCATGGGCTTATTTCTGTGAGTGGCAACAAAAGTTGCCAGTGGGCACATAGCATGTCGCTAACTAAAGGAAAACACTGTCTGCAGGATTGCTCCTAATTTACTTATTTAAAATTGTAGAATGATGTACAATGGCTCATTTTAGTCCTTTTAGAATAATTCCTAGCTAAATAAATTCACAGGTATTCAAGGCCTCTGTGTATAGGATTTTTATACATTACCATACATCATTTTCTTGCTAGCTAAAATTCGCTTGCTAGCTAACATGTATGTTGTCCTTTCCTTAGGTACACCGTAGCAGAGATCCTGGCCATGCTGCAGGACTCTGAAACTGTGGCGGACATCACAGTTGTGCCTGAGTCAGAAATGCACGCACATGACACAGACTGTGACAGTGACCAATCTGATGATGAGGCCACTGGTGACCATAACCGCCTCCCATCAAGAATACTCAAAGAGGAAGGCTTTCTACCTAATTCGGACATGCAGCTGCCAAATCCCCCCGATGATGATCCTGGGTGCTCATCCTCAGTGAGTCAGACAGAGACTAGAAAGGTCAGTGGCACAAATGAAAATGTGACCAGTCAGATTGTTGGGCCCATGCTCCACAAAACTAAGAACCAAGACAGGAAATTCAAAAAAATCAAAATTGCGGCCAAAGCACCAGCACAAGCCAACAAAAAATATCAGATCCCTCGCTATGTCCCCAAAGAACATGATCCTGGCTTCACATCAGATGATCCAGTGGATATCTTCCTCACATTTTATCCCAAGTCCCTCAGAGATGTCACACTGGAAATGTCCAATCTCTACGCTGAACAAAAAGGGAAAACGCTCAACCTGACTGAGGATGAACTTCTTACATTCTACGGTATTCTGTTGATCAGTGGATACAACACAGTCCCAAGGCGGCGTCTTCTCTGGTCAGACGATTGTGATGTCAGCAACAATGCTGTAAAAGATGCCATGCGGAGGAACAGGTTTGATGAAATTATGTCTTCTGTTCATTTAGTAGACAACATGAAGATCACAGCTGACCCGTTCTTCAAGGTGCGTCCCCTTTTTAAGCATCTAAATGACATCAACAACGCAATCCCGATAGCAGAACATGTGGCAGTAGATGAGATGATGATTGAGTATTTTGGAAGGCATGGGTGCAAACAGTTTATTAGAGGGAAGCCTATTTGTTTTGGGTATAAAATATGGAGCTTAGCATCCTCCTCCGGGTTTGTCCATCAGATGGAGCCATATGTAGGAAGCCACACACATCTGGTGGAAACTGGACTTGGTCAGGGTCCAAGTGTGGTTCTTGGCCTGGCAGAGAAAGCTGAAGTGCCACCTGGAGTCAAGTTTTACCACGACAACCTCTTCACAACCCTGTCCCTGGTGGATGAGATGACCCTGAGAGGCTATGGCAGCTGTGGCACGATGCGACAAACTCAGCTCCATAACGTTCCCTTCACAGCACCCCAGACCTTCAAGAAGACACCCAGAGGAGATGCTGAGCATCTGGTTGAGGCAGAGAAGCTGATTGTAAGGTGGAATGACAACAGCGTGGTCACCGTGGTGTCGAACATGGAGAGGGAGTTCACCGAAACTGAGGCGAAGAGATGGAATAAACAGAAGCGGACTATGGACAAGGTCAGACAGCCCAAGTGTATCCAGGACTACAACACACACATGGGAGGAGTGGACCTGCATGACCAGTTTGTCAGCCGCTACAGAGTCAACATCCGGTCCAAGAAGTGGTGGTGGCCATGCTTCAGCTGGGCCCTGAACAGTGCCATGGTGAACAGCTGGTGCTATTACAGGTACACAAGGCTGTATGTTATTTAGTGATATCACAATCGAGTTGGTGATGTTTGACTCGAGGTCATCGCTAGTGCTCTTCGGTCGACAAGAGCAACAGTGATGATATCCAGACCAACATCACAAACTCAAGTGTGATATTGCTTTTACAGAACATTCTACATATGGGGCATGACGTTGTAGAAAGGATGAAACGATGCACATTCATGCATCTATCATGCTTGTTTTGTCATTCATTTAGGTCCTGGAAAAGCGGGGAGAAGGATCTCCTCTCCTTCCAGAGGCTGGTAGCCCAGACCCTCCTCCTGCGCCATGGAACAAAGCCAAGTAGGCAGGGCAGAAGATCTTCAATGGCGGTGGCGATAACTGATGCCACCAGGTTTGATAATTTGAACCACTGGCCCTGCAACACTGGTAGCAGGTACAAGCGATGCAAGAACTGCGGCGGACGCACATCATTTGCGTGTGGAAAGTGTGATGTGCCACTACATGTGGAGTGCTTCAAGAAGTACCACACTGAGTAGAACATGCATGAAAGATGATGGAATGTATGGGAAGAAATATGTTATATATGTATATATGTTTTTAGAGGTTCTAAGAAAAAAATGTTTGTTGAGTTTTTGAGTATAAAAAAATTGAGAATAAAGAAATCAGTTCAAATTGTTTGATGTTTTGAATTTTATACAGGGGGAACCTGAGGCTCCACCTTTTTGTTATTATTTATTATGACTATATTATTATTTTGTTCTTATTATATTATTATTATTACTTCTCTATTATTATTATTAGGTGACATTTGACCTAGTGACAAGCTGTGTGACTACTGGCAACAATTGTTGCCAGTCATAAAAATGCTATTTTCTTCAAAAAAAAGTACAAAATGGAAAAAATAAATACATAACATGATTCAGAGGGACTCAACTGATAAAATGATATGCCTTACAACTCAAAAAAATCTGGGCACAAACGGGTTAAGCCCATGAGTCTTCTTTATCCTCTATTCATACCCCTTTCCAACACTATTTGTCATTGCAATCAGATCTGTGTGTATTGCATGTTTTCACTGAAAATTGCACTGCTAAATTGATGGTCTGTTTTCCACAACACAGTATGTTCTGTATTTTATCTGTGAAATGCTGCATGCGCTCTGCTATGGCTGCATAATGAAAGTCTCTTCCATTGTACAAACGTGTGAGGAGCATTTTGCTGGTTCAAGAGTAAACACTATGTCAGCATCCACATTATCACAAGGAAATGAGGTGTTGAAAGCGTCGTCGTCATTTTCAGTTATAGAAAAAAAAATGTGGCACAAGGAAGCACATTATTCTTTTGTGGCTTATTTGCTGGCAGTAGAGCAAACCGAATTTTACCTCTGGAAAATTTGCTATTTTAGAGTTGCTTCAACTTTTAACAATTTGAATTTAAGACTTTTATGACAATTATGAATACAATTTAAGGCCTATTTTACATCCATGCTGGCTCAAAAGATGGCAGAAAAATTCCAGTGCAATCCAGTCTATTGTGAGGTCTCGAGAAGCTTTAGAAATGAGCACTGATTTGTCTGGGTTAATGGAATAGCAGCAAAAAAAAGTCTGTTAGTGTAGAATGGTTTGCACTGAGGCCAGCATTTGGAGATGCTGACAACATAAATAGAGAACAATGGTTGTTCATGGCAGGTCCTGTTCTCTGTCTTCCAATGCAGTTCTAATACTTTTATATCCAAAGGTCCTAACATGAGGATCTTGGATACTTATCTTGGATAAGGTGCAACCAGCTTCATCCATACATTCATAAATGCACTGGCGCCCATTCACTTTTCTAAGTGCCTCAGTGCTGTAGCACCAGAAACTTTATTCATGCCCATTGCCCCACATAGACTGAAATCTTAAGTGCATTAAGGAGGAAATTGAGAATAAATAATATTAATAAATCATCCAAAGCCATAAAGTTATTTGTTGAATACTGTGTAGGGAAGATGGGCTTAGAAGACAGAAATCCTAATTCTTAGTTGCAAACCTTGTCCCTCATACGCTACATACTGTAGCTTCAGGATCAATACTTGTAAACATAATGGTTACAACAGCCTTGATGATGGCCCACTGCTTGCTAAACCTAACATTAACATCACATATGCACATATAACAAAAGACAGTAAGACACAGACACATGAGTTTCTGATGGAATATAGTCCATAGTCCAAGTGACCAAACCTCTTGGGTCAATATGCTTTTCTTTTACTGCCTTTCCTGATTAGTGAGTTTTGGGGGGTTTTCATGAGCCAGGTAACCTTGCCTATGCACCAGCAGCAGTTTTTTCCATCTGCACTTGTTATAATGCCGAAATAAAAGGAGTACAATGGTGGTGAAAAGTTTCTCTTTTTAGAAGAGATGACTGTCTTGGAATAACAAGGTGAGTTTTCCTTTGCAGAGGAAAACACCTCAAAGCATTCAGGTCTTGCAGGTTCTTTCTGAGTCCAGGTGGGGATCAAACTAAAAGAATGACTAGGAGAGGGGACGACAGAACAAAGTCAAGAAACTGAAGGAATAAGACTTTTTAAATCAGGTAATAAACAGGTGATGGATGTATATGCAAGCTGGACCTCACCAAGGATGGTTTTAACCAAACGTCAAGGATTCATATGATATGGCAAAATTTCACATAAATATCTGATATGTTAATTTTTTTCCAATTTAACTCTTCAGAAAATTCAAGCTTGCTGCCTGTTTGTGTGTTTGAAGCAACCGTGTGTGAAGATGTGTCGCTTAATAACATAGTGTAAACATCTACATTTGTGTTTTTGACCTTATTCTCTATTCTTAGACCCCAATTCCAGGTTTTCATTAAATGTAAGATGCAGAATAAACCCTGAAACTACAAGCAAGAAAACAGCTATCCCGAGCTACATAAAAGGAGGTTTATTTATGCACGTAATGGTTTTATCATCACAATAACATGAATTACTTCTCATGAAAGCTTTAACATATACTGTATATATACACAGATCAAAGGAAGCTATGGGGCTATGTTTTTCATAGTAAATAGAACGAGTAATTAGCACATGGAGTAATACCTACTGTACAAAGATGCATCATTATATGAACTCCTGTGAGTTGGCGGTCTCTCGGCTGTTTTTATACCTGTCCAAATGGGTCACAGGGTTTTATCTCTGCAAATGGCACGGGTCTCATTAAGGTATCCATAATCCATATACCAGTGCCAGACAGCCATTTATTGCCCTCTGGACCATCTCAATTACTTTTGAAAAATGCTGTGCTTTTATTTGAAGACTTAATGAGTATTAAATCCAGATGGGGTTCATTGCTTTTCTTGTTCATTATTTCACATGGCTGTTAGGACTCGAGTTTTTGGAGATAATCATCAGCTTAGACACCTTTTCTGTGCAGTCTTCTTATGATGAATTGAGTGAAATGTGATAAGGGTTCATTGCATTGTTTATCATTTGTCTATTTTTGCCTGTATGTATTCTGCCTTATATCACAGCCTCTTTTATGTTACGCATTCCTCATCTGCTTTCAGGTTTTTCTGGCTGTCTTGTTCCTGCCGGAATCCTATAAGATGTTTTCAGTTAAAGTCCGGAAATACGTCAGAAATCTCCACATCTCTTGATATTTTTCTTCTTTAGGGAGGAATTTATTTGACACGCAGGTGTCACCCTGGAGCTTTCCGCTAGACTGGCAATAAGATAGAAGACTATGTGTGTCTCTGTCTACGTGTATGTACAAGCACACACATTTTCTTGAGACAAAGAAAGACAGAGAGATGGAGCACCCTTACACCTCGTCTCTCTCCCCCTCCCACACACCCATCTTCTGTCCTCCCACGCCATCCGTTCCATTACAATGATAATAGGATTTGGAAGGCTGCATTATTGCTGCTGTCTGAGCTGGGCCTTGTGATATCCCTGTCCGCACCGTTCCTCTTGACTTGCATGTTAGCCTCCTGATTCATACTCCATTCACTGAGGGCGCCGTTAAAGACCGAGGGGAGTCGTCTGGTTCATGGTCGTTACAACCCTTCACTATATAGACTGAGTTTTATTCTTGGCAGGCTGACCGCGCAAAAACTAATCTGAGCTACAGGGGACTCCTGTTTAATGGCAGCTCTGCTGTAGCCCTCAGCAAGGCTTATTTGTTCAGACGGAGGTTATGTTTATGGCCATTCATAAGGGCAGTTTTAAGAAGCCATAATTTCCAGTGCAGCCTGCTGCCTTTGGGGTTTTTTAGTTATTTTTAACAGCTGAAAAGTGGAGCAGAATTGCCAAGGTCACAAGTGAAGCTAAACCCCCAATGAAGTGTATCTACAGTACGGTAAGTAGCGATAACATGGCAACCCCAAGTAACAGCCTCACAGTTGCACTTAGCTCTTTATTGTGTGAATGCTTGAAAAGCATTCACAGTATTGTTATTCTAATCTTTATTATTAGTGTGAATGCTTGAAAAGCATTCACAGTATTGTTATTCGAATCTTTATTATTATTAGTGTGAATGCTTGAAAAGCATTCACAGTATTGTTCTTCTAATCTTTATTCTATTTTATTAGTGTGAATGCTTGAAAAGCATTCACAGTATTGTTCTTCTAATCTTTATTATTATTATATTTTATTCTGTATTCCGTACGTTTTTTGTAATCCTACTCCTTCAAAACCGTTCAACTTAGAAAAACCATTCAAACACCGTTAGATTCCTATTCTTTTGGACAACACTGCTTCTATTTTTCATATTTTAACATTTATATTTTAATTTTATTCAACTTTATTCAACAAAAATTTATAATGTATTTCAATGGGGAGACCCTTCAAATCCTCATTCAACTTACTCATTTTTAAACTCTTACTACTTCCACATACATTGACATAGAGCCACTATTCAAACTTTAAAACGAAGACAAGACATTCAACTATTCAACTTGTATTTATCTTTTCAATATCTATTATACTTTTTCTTCAGTTCCAGTTTAAGTTTCATGATGTTTTTTCACCCGTTTCAGAGTTTATAATGGGTGTGTATGGGACGGAATGTTGGGGCTAGAGTGAGGCAGCTCAACTGCTAGAGTGAGAGGAGCAAAAAAATTAATCTTAAAATCTTTTTTAAAACTGCTGCTGTGTCCGCAGCGTTTGCTCTACAGGTATGATTTTACCCTCAAAACGTAGCCATGGCTGTCCTCTTTCATCCAATGTGTTTACTATTGTACTAGGTGTTATGGTTCTTTCATAAATGTCACCAATGCATAGCCTCCTCCCTCCAACTCTTCCATAGACTCTAATGTTAAAATGGCTCAGAAGGTTCGTTTGAAAATCAGAAGAGCATGGTGTTTTTACACTGTCACCACGTCCATATAATAAGCTCCACAGGCATGAAAACTGAGAATTAGGTAGACTAGACATTGCTGTCGCTCACGGTGAAAGAATTTTGTCAATACGACTTTTACTTTTCATTTGGGAGCGATTTGTTTCGGCCTGACTTTTCTGTTCATTTTAAGCAGCAAAAGTGAGGTGCATGTCTGTGTGCGTGTGTATGGAGCCATTGGGTGCGGTCACTATAGCAACCAGGCTCACACCTGCCTGCTTAACGAGCTCTGCCTGCCACTCTGCCAAGATTCATCTTAAACACTTCTCTTTCAACTGCTGCTGTGTCCACAGTGTTACAGCCATCATTTACCCTCAAAACGTCGCCATCGTTGTTCTTT